AATTCTGTTATAGGATGGTGCCTGTGGCTCAAAGGAGTAGGGCACTGGCCACATATATTGGAGGTGGCAGGTTCAAACCCAGTCCTGGCCAAAAAAAAAAAAGAGTTCTGTTATATCTGTCCATCACCATGATAAAAGTTAAGAATGATTTCGAAATTATATTATACTCATAAGAGCCCTGCAAATTTGGCTAGTACACCTTATACTCTTCATTCATAAAACAAGTTGTGGACTTTTTACTGGTGTATTTTGTGACCCACTCATTTCCTGGACGAATGCTTCTTAAAGAATGTGTCACTTCTCAACTATGCTAGCTTGGAGACCAGTGGCATGGTTCCCAGAATTTCCACAGACTGTTGATTATGTGGGTACAGAATTCAGGCTGTCCATTCTTCCATGTCTGGCTTAGGCTTGACATTAATTTATAAAGCATATTATGCTTTACTTTGTTAATGTAGAAATATATCTCTATATCAAGGCACTGTCTTTTGGGTTCCATTTTGAAATAGTTCCAGAAACTTTGTTTCTACACAAACTAGGCAGTCTTTTGTTGAAACGATGTTGGACTCTATCACCATAAATTCTTTTTCTAACAAAAGAAGTGTTATAATGGGGCAAACACTTCCTAAAAACAATACAAATCAACCTTAAAATTTAACTGTAAATGATCGGAGATTGTTGATTAAATTAGAATTCTGAACTTAATAGAGGAAAATGCTAGACTTAAACATTGAAAACAGCTCGCACAAATTGGATTTTTATTATTTCATAAATTAAGCCTTATATATGGAAATAGTAGGCATACTTTTAAGCCAGTAAGTAATTGGTGATATTTTCTGGCTCTATTTAGGTTCAAAGAGTTTATTTTTAAAAAGCTTGAGCCTGGGTTTTAAGAGGCAGTTAGAGAAGCTTAAGTTTGAAAAACCTAGTTAATGTTCAATTGATGTTACTGTTCAATCAATATGATCAACAGCGAGATGAGCATGTCTTACTGGTCTTTTTTTCTTTATATCAAAAAATAATCCCACTAACTGGGTTTAGCAGTATAGCAATAATAAAGGCTCCCTAATATATACTAGATGCCTACTATGTTCCAGACCCTATGCTAAATGGTTTATAAAAGGTACATATAGCTTGGCGCCTATAGCTCAGTGTCTAGGGCTCCAGCCACATACACAGGAGCTGGCAGGTTCGAATCCAGCCCAGGCCTGCCAAACAATAATGACAACTACAACAAGAAGAAAAAAAA